CATCGAATTTTAATAGTTTATCTGTTATTTTCTCTACCCTATCCCAAAACAGGATTGGTCAATTCGACTGATCTCGTAACCAACCAAAAAAAAATCGAAATAAACCTAAACTAACCATAAAAGTATTCAAGTATTATAGTGGAATTCTATAGTATTAATATAGTAATTTAAATTTATGATTTTTAAGTTATTTCAACTATGTATATATAAAAGCTACAAAATTTTGTTTCGTATCCTCCACGTGTAAAATTTTAAAAGGCTTAGCAACCTACATCAAGCAGAAACTGACTACAGAGGTTGTAACTAGAAGAGATAATTATTTGCTTTATTTCTTTATTTACTGTTTTTTGTTTTAAGAAATTTGCTAATAGATTTTTCTGAGGCCGACTCCCATTAAATTTATAACCAATAGAAAAACATATTTCAACTCATTCATTGCTATAGTCATCATACCACGTGGGCTTACAGATAATTGACAATTTGGTTTGATGTGAAAAAAACATTGTCTACAAATGTGATGTCCTGTACTCTGACCCCTACCTGTACAGAAGGGGTTAACTGAACACACAAATACAAAATATTTGTAACGTTACAGAATTTGATGCTCTTCTTGAGTTAGATCTGAGTGAGAATTTTTCTTTTTCAGGAAGCTGATATGAAGGCTTTGAGGAGATTTATTCTGGCCAAAAAACCTCATGTAATAGGTGTGGCAGGAGAATCCAGGTACTGTACTGCATTCTTTGGTATTAGTGTGAAAATGTAGCTTCTCAGTCTCTTGTAACATGTATACAGGATTGTTCAGTGACTCTGAGGTTTGCATGTTTATCTGAACGTTTTAGTATATAGTGTTTGTTTTACCCCTTTTAATAGTTGATTCCAATTGCTAAAGAAGTGATAATGCATCTTATGATTTGAAAATCGTCTTAATAAATCACTCAGTTTGGCTTCTTTCCTCCATCTATTCCCAGAGTGCATAAGAACTGCAGTACTCTGGTTATTCCAGGAGGTAGAAAAAATGTTTATTGTAATACCTCTCTGTCTTTCTTACAGGGAAATCTTACAAAAAACACACACACAATGATAGTCTTTCTATGAAGTTATGCATACCAGAATTAAAAAAAGATATATAGTATTATTAGGATGTTGGTCCATTACTTGTCTATGAAAAAAAAATCTTTGTTTTCATATAAATTTTTGGTTTTATGCATATAGAATCAAATGCACCAGTCCCTCTATGTTAAGGTATTTATTTTGAATTAAAAGATATATAGTATTATTAGGATGTTGGTCCATTAATTGTCTATGAAAAACAAATCTTTGTTTTCATATAAATATTTGGTTTTATGCATATAGCATCAAATGCACCAGTCCCTCTATGTTAAGGTATTTATTTTGAATTGTGGCACCTCTGACAATGAAATGATTGCAAAACTCGTTCATGCGAAATTATGTATGCATAATGTTAAAAAACAACAATTATTTTATACACAATTCTATAAAAATGACAGTTTCCAGTCTCCAAATTACTAAAATACAATAACTTACTGTGTAGGATAAAAAGTGGTAAAACCCAACGTGACTGGAAAACATTCTCATACACTTTACATGTTTCGACGTACACTACTGCATCATCCTCGGGAGTGTAATGTTTTGCAAAAATAACACTTATTTATACAATTATCAGATCCCCAATTTACATATTAAATAATTTCACGTTCAATAATTTAAATTTACTTTTTTTCATTTAATTATCTCAATAGATTCACATATATTCATACCAATTAAATTTCCAGGTTGTACTAAAATAAAAAAAACTTCCCATTGAATTGTGTGATTAGTTTCTCTGACATGTTCTGCTAAAGGTGAAATAGTAATATTATTATTTTTAACATTTCTTTTGTGTTCATTCATTCTGAATTTTAAATTTCTTCTAGTTTGTCGTATATAAACTTATTTATATTCACATAATATTTTATATATACCACATTTTTCCATTTAATCAACTTTATCTTTAGTTGTATTAAGAATTTGGCTGACTTTGTTTATTGGTTTATATGTCGGAAATATATTTGTTTTTTTAATTTTTTTATTATTTGACAAGATAAACCAGGTATGTATGATAGTACTAAACATTATTTCTTACTTTTTTCAGAAAATGTTTTAACTTAATATTTTTATCCTCGTTTTTTAGTTTTATGACAGCTCTGTCAACAACATCTGGATTAAAACCTCTTTCTACTGCTATGTGCTTAATTAACAATAACTCATTATTAAGATCATCCTGTTTACAACATAATTTTAATATCCTGTCCACATAAGAGTATAAAACAGGTTTTTTTAGATGTAGTGTGACAAGATTGTTGATGTGGCGGAATGATTACAGATAAAGGTTTACAATAAATGGTAGTTTCCAATTTATCCTTATTTTTACTCACTAAAACATCCAAAAAAAAAGTAAACAACTATTTATCTCAATTTCATAATTAAATCTTAGATTTTTTTATCCTGTGCAGTAAGTTATTGTATTTTAGTAATTTGGAGACTGGAAACAAGCTCATTTTCATAGAATTGTGTATAAAATAATTGTTGTTTTTTAAAAACTGTGAGTTTTTTTTTAACATAGAACATTGCACATGTGACAAAAAATTTTTAAAAAATAGGTATGCATAACTTTGATTCTGTTGTTGTACTGAACTCTGCTTTTTCTCACTCTGATAATAAAGTGATTGCAGTGCTCCTTTACATTACACTAGGCATGCATACTCTGATTCTGTTCCTTTTAATGATTTGTTTTTAACTAGTAATTCTTTCATTTAAGTTAAATTGTTACATAACAGCAATGTAACATACTGATGTTTCTTAGTAATGCTTTCTCATTTAGTAAATTTGTTGGATGATTTGATGAGTAGTAAGTAAATCTGTCAGAAGTCTTAACTACTGGAAAAATGTGAAATTTTTTGGTCAGTGTGTTGTTCTACTCTATTGGAATTTTATTCTAGCTCTGAAATCATTTTCGTTATTGTAAACTTTCCAGAGAGGCTTTAAATGTGATAGCAGATGTGAAATCAGTCATCTGTGACCTCGTGGAGATGGAGCAACTCCCAACCATCAGCGTAGAACTAATAGACAATGAATTGCCAACTGTGTATATGAACTCGAAAAAAGCAGAGGTTTGTTTCTCTAAGTGAATTTGCAGCTTTTACAGCTTGTATTATCACACATATTTAGAAATACTTCAACTGTTTTGTATATTAAGCTTCTATAATGCACAAACTGTTGGTGTTTCAATTTGTTTTTAGGTATATTTTATTTTTATTTGTTTTTCAGAATTATTTTAGTTCCAGCTCCAAATTTCTAAAAGTTCAGATCTGATTTTAACTGTTTTTAAAAAAATGTTTGAACTGTTTTGTAATATTTCTTGAAAGTGTTTCATTACCCTCTAATATTATATTTTGAGAACCGTACATAAAAGGCTTTGATACAAATTCCTTGAAATAAGGATAAAATATTATAGTTTCAAATGGTAGGTGCGATACCATGTTGTGAGAAATATATGGAGTTAAAGAAATCCAATATCTTTGACAAGCTTCATTTTTGGTTTTTGTTATTGAGCCATTATTTCTTTTCTTCTTCCTCTGTTTCTCAAATTTCTCAAGTAGTTGTTTTTGTTTCTATATGTTCCCGATAGGTAATCACTAAATATATGTATGCATGTATACCTTTGTTCATAAAAAAAATATTTATACATTGTGAAAATTCCTAGAAGGCTTTCATGTTAGTAGCATATAAAAACACATTTCTAGCTTACTTATTTAGCTTTCTTACATGTGGTGACAAAAGCTGCTGGTTTGTTGTTACGTGATTCATGTTACACTGAAATATAGCATTAGTGGTGATATCAGTGAACACTGGCTACTTTTTGTATATAAAACCATCTTAAAGAAATTCCAAAATATCTCTTCTGAAACTTGTAATTCCTCTAGACTATACAAACTGTAATGTTTCTTGTTTATTAGTTGTGGAATTTTTCTTACTTTGTGCTTGATTCTCTGCATCAGATTAAATACTGTAACACTCTGTCATTGAAGCAGCTCTAGACAAGAGGAATTCAGTTTCTGGAAGTTGTGTCTGTGTATCTAAAGAATTAAATTACTATTGTGAATACCGTTGTTTCTGTGTTATTCATTGATTGTGAACACTGTTGTTTCTGTGTTATTCATTGATTGTGAATACCGTTGTTTCTGTCATTGTGATCTGAACAAAAATACTGATACCACTGTGGCAAAAAGTATTTTCTTTTTACGTCCATATTTTACACTTGTTCATTACTTATTCGTAAATTTCCAGGCTGATTTTCGAGACTATCCTGCTCTACTACGACAAGCAGTTTCTATTGCTCGTAAAGTACAAGATCCTCTTATAGAGTTCTCCCAGCTGTGTACTCCTGATGAAGAAATCCTTTGTTTGAAGTACCATCCCCTTCAGGTGAGAAACAGAGTAATATATATTGTCCTCTTCAGGTGAAAAAGAGGGTAATATAAATATCTGAAGTATTTGGGACTTCATATGAGACATTGATTTATGTAAATTGTCTGAATTACCATGCTCTGTTAGAAGCAAGCAGTCTATAAATATAGACATCCTGTAGTATGAATAAGGCACATAATGGGGTATTATGAGTGAAAAAACCTGTTTAATATATTTTACCAATGAAGTGATATTTTTGTGTCAGCATTATAGTGTTTAGCTATTAGAGGATCACTTTGACCAAATGCTATACATACAAAGCATTTGAAATTTTTATTGTGTTTTGTATTACATTGTTTCATTCTCTAGTCATGGTATTCAAAATTTTTAATGTTTATCATCAGTTTTTGTCAATCTTTGTTTTGTATTTGTAGGATCAAATATCTAAAGAGGAACTGTTAAACTGCCTTTACCTGGAGTTTGTGAACAGAACAAATGAAGTAGGTGTTGACGTGAACAGGGCAATCTCTCATCCTCACACTTCCCAGCTGGTCCAGTTTGTTTGTGGTTTAGGTCCTCGAAAAGCATCCCATTTAATAAGGGTACGTTTCTTGGTGCATTACCTTAGGGTGCTACATTGACTTCATATGAAATATATAATCATTTGAGGATATTATATTGACTCTGAATGAAAAACATCATTATTGTAATTATTTTAATGCATTACATTTACCCTTAATTAGAAAGGACATTATTTTAGGCTACTACTTTGACCCCTAATGAAAAAAAATAATTTGAAACAACTTTTTTTTTTTAGCTTATAAAAGAACAAATCACTGTCCTAAATGAGTTCGTCAACTTTAGTTGACTCTCACCACAAGAATTATATTTCTGATGTTATTGATGTCCATAATGTACTTAACACAAGGTAGCTGTTGCCATATAATTAGTGCTGTAAAAAAGGTCACAATATTCTTACTAAATAATTATTCATCAGTATTGGAAGTGTTAAGAAATACTAAATATGTCTAGATTATTACATCACAGATTTTTCATTGTTTGAGAAATTATGCTAAAAAAGAAAGAGTTTATAATACTATATAATACCAACTTTCTCTGTTTTACAGACTCTTAAACAAACACATCAGAAGTTAGAGAACAGGACACACCTTGTTACAGTGTGTCACATGGGACCTAAAGTGTTCTACAACTGTGCTGGATTTGTGAAAATTGACACTGTTGCAGTTGGAGAAAGGTAAGTTTATTTATGTGTTCCTTTTATAAAATAATCTTCATCATCTTTTTAATGTTATTTTCTCCTTGTTTAAGGTTACAAATTGTTTGTATGAAACTGTACAGAATATTTATAACTGCTATTTATGTATCTACTGATCTACAGCATGAACAGTAGTGGCCTAACTTTTTAGGGTTAGTGTGCTCAAATGAAGAAAACAAATGGTCATGTGGGTATACTAAACATAATGTAAGGTTATGCTTTGTTGTTGTGATTTGAAATTTTATATTTTGTAAAACCATCTTGTAGCTATTAGGTATGGAGCATGGATTTTGTTTTCTGTGTGACTTGTGTATGTGCATATAAACTTCTGTGTAATTAAGTTTTGAGATGATAGCTCATTATTTTGACTTCATTTCATCTGTATGTAGTGCTGAGGCATATGTTGAAGTACTCGACGCCTCTCGGGTGCATCCTGAAGCATACGAGTGGGCTCGAAAGATGGCTGTGGATGCCCTGGAATATGATGACATGTCAGAAGAAATTGACCCTGCTGGGGCCTTGGAGGAAATTTTGGAAAACCCAGAAAAACTTAGAGTAAGTAACTGTGAAGATTGTGAGCTGATGAAAATGTTTATATAACTTGAAAGAGTACTTGGTTTTTTAAACTAATTACAAGAGAAATAGAAGGAGAGTGATGTTGTATGTCCTCATACAAACATTTATTTTCAAAACCCATCTCTTGTTAAGCTGGTGTCATAAAATATCACCCTGTTACAGAGTGTGTATATTTTATCCTGTTTCTAATTCACTGCATTTATTAGCATGTACACGCTTGCATCACAAAGTTTTCTAGATAATGTCATCTAACAAACAGTGCTTGTTTTATTTTCACTGTGTGAAAGCATTCTCACAGAACTTGTAAAGACCATACAAAGTTGTACAATTACAAAGAAAATATCTGTTAATGCTAGAATTATTTATGGTGGACCCCAGCAGATTTCTAAACTATTTATACACCAAATTGCTTGAGGGTCCAGTCCCTATTAACTTTGTTGGTTACAAAATTGCTAATAAAATACGAATCAGACGTTAATATTGCAATTAATCCAACTTATTACTGGTGGAGCCTCCTATGTACACTGAGTGGTCACAAGTAAATAGACACCTAATTTTTCGTCATTTAACTGATTT